ACTGCTTTCAGCATTTACTATAATCAGAAGGATAGTTCAGCAGTCCTAACCTGTTTTCAGAACTCGTTCTCGAACTGCATTCATCGGAAAGAGTTGATATATATCGCAATTTGAGATTTTCAAGTCCAGTTCCCACTGGAACTGGAGAGGAGGAGCGATCATTACGGATGCTAAAGTACCCAAAGTCGTTCGCAAGTACATGAAAACATCCTATGACATCTGCCTATTCGGGGCGTCAGACCTTCTTCCTATGTGCTGTGATCGTTTTGTCTGTGTGAGACTCGAAAATAATATTCCGGAAGGTTTCAATGCTGCCATGATGGCAGTGCCATCCGTACGGGCAGCTTAGAAGACGGCCGCATCGACAGCGGAGGAGAATTATTTGACCTATTGCTCACAATGTCTAGCTCCTACAAACGCCTTCTTCAGCAAGACTTGCCACATGGGTCCTCAGCCCACATCCTTTGCCAATGCCAATAATTGTGACGTTGGCCTTGCTCGCTGTGTGACTCCTGGGCAGCATTATTACGTCACGAGCTCATCCCGTCCGTGACGGACGGTCCGTCGAGAACTCTTGATGCAGCGACGGTAGTTTCTTGAGGATGTAGAGGTAAGAGAAGCGTTGAGGACTGGTTGCGACAAGTCTGTTCAATCTACGAAGTCAAGTTTATCCGTACGCTGTGGAATTCGCCCGGTATGTGGACAATGTCCACTGGACAACACGTTGACGAGAATATCGGTACTGTGGACATAGAAATCGGTACTGGATCTCGGCAGTGAATGAGGTCCTACCCATATACAGTCAGTCTAGTTCTGTTATCACGCTCAACGTGATCCTAATGCTCAACTTGGGCACTACTCCTAGTACTACTGGCAGAACCCAACCTTCCTCCTGGCAAGGCTGGAATTGCCATATCCTGGGTCTGCTCCGAGCAATATATTGATACTATCGCCAAGACGGTGACTGAAGATGATGCTCCGAGCCTAGATAGTCCAGTAGCGGAATCCAGAACGTGATTCCCGAAGGATTCAAGCATCGAATTCGCTGCGAGTCGAGCCTACTGTAAATGTTTTGCAGCTCCGGTTGGAAGGCCACGGGGTCACTAGGTGATTTAGGTCTAAATCATTTCTAGTGACGGTAGATAGTATTATCTAGCATTGCGGTTCACATTATGCGAGGCTAACGGCTAGATAGTCTATTAGAATGGCAACTCACTGGTAGTGAGTCACTGTCTAAGTTGGTAACTTGAACTTCAAAAAATGCGGGTCTCGCATTCTTTGCGCAAGCGGAGGAAAATTTACTTAGGGAATTCCTCGGTCAGAAGCTACCCATTGGGTAGTACCCGATAGCTAGAAACCCAATAGCGGAAAGAAGAAAAGCACGGCGTTGAGCGAGTATCGGCATTACCAATGCACCTCCCACATCTTGCATATTGTTGTGTAACACAACTTGTGTT